TGAGCTTTTTGTTATGCACAAAAACAACATTGTTTTCTTTTATTTATGGAGCATGATTATTTAATAAATGCTGATAATTTATTTTTGAGTAATTTCTTCATGTAAATCTATGCTGTATGTAAATAAAAATGCCTGTGTGACATCTGGGACACAGTGTGACTAAGAACTCTCTTTTTGTTCTTAACTTATGGCTTTAAAAAGAATTCGAGATATATATATCTTATATCGCCACCCAGCTAAAAAATACTGAGATATGAATTTTGGGTCATATCGCCCAGCCCTACAGGCAAGCCTAATGTCACTGTTGTTCACGTTGATCTTTTAAGCGTGTATGTTATGAATGCTTGTTTGTTCATTTTTTACAAGCTGTAAGCATCCTTCATATATTTGCTTCATTACAGCCTGTTAGTTTTTGTCCAGGTAAAGACAAAAACTTCCAGGAGGTAATTTTTGCACTGAGCAAGTGTGTGATCACCACGCTTTAAATATAGCAGCAATTACCACCTGCTGGGTGTCTGGACGGTTAGAAAATGTTAACATATTACACAACATAACTTTGTGTTTCTGTAAATCACAAAGATTTAATGAACATATCTGTCAGGTATGTCATGTACTCCTCTGTTAAGCAGGAAGCAGTATAAGGAGTGGTTATTAGGTATTCAGAAACAGGTTATTCATGATAAATGACATCTTTTTCTCAGTACACCACTTCATTACATGTTTGTTTACTTTTCAGAAGATGACTACTGACAAACGCTCAGCAACATTTTGCCTGGAACTAGCTTGTAGCAGCCTTGCTTAAATTCCTATCACAATAATAGAAGACGACCACGCTTCAGGAAATCATTTACCAGATTGTTCAAACACACAGCATCAGGACCGGCCCACTCAAATAACTATTTCCATCTACACGCAGACAAGTTTTCTCTGTCATTGAGAAATAAGCCAATAACACGAGGACAATAGGCAGACTCTGTAACAGATTGTGTGATTGTGATTTTTAAAGAACACAAAATCTCACATGATGGTGAACAAGTATTTAAAAAAACCTCTTTAAAACTTTGCGCATCTTATTCATATGTGCATTTCAAATTTAAAGTGTGCACAAACAGTCATGCAGTGGTCACAACTTTGGCCTCACAGAAGGACGTCCTGGTGTTTGTGTGTTCTCCTTATGACAGCGTGGGGTTTCACCCATAGGAGGCAACTGCTGATTTGAAACTAGCTATAGGTACGAATGTGAGCACTAATGGTTGTCTCTGCGTTAGACCTGTAAGAGACCAGTGAGCTTTCCTGTACCCTGCCTTTTGCTCCAGAACTGTTGTGATAGGCTCCAGCCCTCACACGAAACTGAACCGAATAAGCAGTAAAGAAAATGGATCGATGATTAGTGTGCAAAGATGAAATTATTTGGGTTCACGAGCAGCTCTAGTTCTGCAAAACAGCTTCATACAAAATAAAAACCTTCCCTGATGTTGGGTTTGGGTCTCTCTGTGAGGCAGTGTAATCAGCCAAAGACTGTTTGAGGCTTCACTCTGTAACACAACTGTAGTTTATAGATGTGGCTGTAGTTCCAGCATCTCTAGCGTAAGATCTCTTCACAGTCCCTGTTTTTTCAGGGCTCAAATACATATTTATCAGGGATGTGTGTGAGTAGCTGACTACTCGATTTAGTACTGCTGCCCCTGATACTTGGCAAGAGAAACTGAAGTCTGTTAACCTAAATATATTTTATTAATGCCTGATCTTTGGATCTAAGACGTTATACAGCGACTAGCTGCAGCTCCAGGCCCAGCAGATGGCAGCACCGGTGTAGCTATGATGGGAACTTGTGAGCATAAAAGATCATTTAGAAGCTAAAAAGTCAGATGGACCAGAGGGAAACAGAATATTCTGACACTGTCTCCATTCAAACAAAGCAACACATGTACACATTCAGCACAAACATGTGGACGCTAACCTGAAACAAAAGAAGGCTGCTAGAATTAGCACAGCTAGAGACCCTACAGCCATACTGATACTGCATGTGCGCACAGCTTAAAGTGCATAATATTTTACACACACAATTAGGGCTGTCCGATATGACCAAAATCTCATATCCCGATAACTATATATATCACAAAATATTGATTTTTCTGTAAATTCAGTTAATCTCAGGCAACTCGACTTGTGTGAAGTGTTTTCTGCTGGGCGTTGTGTACCTGGAGTCATGTTTTGTGACCGATGCATGAAACTATATATTTTAGATATAAGTTGTAACAGCTGCCATTTTCTTTGTGAGTATTTATTACATGGCGTGCTGCCAGGAAAACCCTGTTCTAAAGTTTGAGTCAAAGGTTTATTTTGAGCACCTGACGGCTCTTTTTTGCTTCTCATCCGTAAACTCTCTCCATACTCTCTCACGTGATTCTTGCGTCGGTGGTAGAGAAAAAAAAATATTGCCGTTAACAGTGTATTTTGCAACACCACAAAGCAAATGATATGAAACAGATGTTTTCATATCGTCATCCGATATATTTCATCATATCGCACAGCCCTACGCACAATAGCATTTAAAATATGCATCTGTTACTGAAAAATGTGATTATTAGAACGTGGTTCTATTGGACACTCCATCTCACTGTGCTCAATTTACTACTCATAAAATTTGGTGATTAGATTGATTTTTATCTCCCATTTCATCCACTAGTAAATTGGTTGAAATAAAGACCATTAAAATTTACCAAGTGATATTAAACACCAAGCGCTTTGGCAACTTTTGCCATCCGAATAAAATAGAAGGATTGTACAGGATTGCAATGGGAGTTCTTCGGCTCCCTCGAGAATTCCGCTCAGAAAGTAGTCCCAAATCTTGTAAAAAATGCATATCATATTATCCAGTAGGAAAACAATGCAGCGATTTTGCAGATAAATTACTATGATCAAATCACAGTCAATAATTCTGTGAAATGTAATGATCTGGTGTCAAACTGACTGCAACAGACTCGACCCAACTTGGTTGAACAGACAGAATGTCAAAATAACAGCTACAATTAGATAAACCGAGATGTGTTCCCTTAACTTCACAGCAGAAATTAATAGCTTTGAACTCAATTAGCTTTAGCTCACTGCCACAGTACACAACGTAAAACCTCAGCAACACTGTTCAGTCATTTGGAGTCTCAGTAGCTTGGTAAAGAGTTCCTTAGCATTGATCCACCAGAGAGCACCTCAACACTATCATTACTACTGAACCAGTAATAATCTTTAAATGTATTTTATTTAGCTGTGTAGAAGGACCGTTACTGATAAACATCTGCCATGCCAAGCAAAGAAACAAACACACAAAAAGTAAACAAAGCAGTTTTGACATAGTATGATCATAAATAGCAGACCCGACTAGAACAGTGCATGATTTAATAGTGTGTGAAACACTTACTAGGTCCAGTAAAGCCAGGGGCTGCCGATGCTTGCATAGCCTCCCTTCTGTAGTCCCTGTCCTTTGGGAAACTGTTGACAACAGCAGTCTTTGTTGCCTCTTTTTGCCTCTGTTCTCTATGAAACGCATACAATACAAATTAACCATGCATGCATTCTTTATGCGACAACACTGGGACAAAGTCCAGCTTATATAATGAAATACTTTTAGCTACCTCTCCAGCCATTCTTTGGGCTTCTCCCACTGGGACACTTCTGTCCTGCAGTTGTAATAGTATTTCTTTCCAGAGGAACTGATGTGCTCTGACCAGTCATCACCAGGTTCATAAGGCTGAAAAGAAATATACATTTAGGAGCATGAAGCCAACGAGACAGAATGAAAGAGTGTGTGAGTGTGTGTGTGTGTGTGTGTGTGTGTGTGTGCAGGTTCTGATGCAAGAACTTGTAATACAATCTGAAATGTACAATAGATATTGGGGTGAAAGCAGAAAGCCTAGGAAGGCTGTTTGCAGAGCAGCTTTGTAAGAAGGAGGAAGACTCATTCTAGAGACAGCTTTGGCTGTTAAGACATCAGATTGAAAAGGGTTGCTTTTTAAAACCTGTATTGTCACTGAAGGTTTTTTCTTCTTCTTCATTTCCAGCATTTAGAAATAACCTAATAAATTTAATCCAATATTATGAGGTAAACAGATAGAAAAGAGCAGAAACTTGAAGCTTACATATCACTGAGAGAAAAGCAAAGTAGAAATAACTTCAAATAAAAGCACAAGTATATGAGTGTAAGAGGAGGATTACCCTGATTTATGTGCTTTAAGAATGTAAGGGAACTTGGATGAAATGCAAGTACCAAAAAACAACAGTATTTTTTTACACCTGTGAAACGACACATCAGCAGGTGCTGCTGCCAGGAAACAATTCAGTCTATTGCACAGGATAGACAAGACTTGGGGCCATTATAGCTTCCTGTGTTAAGGAGGAGGCGATACTTACTGTGTCTGAGGTCTTGCTGGGGTTAGAATGTGAGTTGGAGCTATGAAGGGAACTGTGATTGTGAGAATTTTCCTGTGGAGAATAACTGGTCCCTGCAATGAAACACAGCACAGGAGAGGGAGAGATCCATGAGTAACACACAAAAACACAAACAAAGTTCACTGCATCACCGAGCGCCTGGATGAAGCAGACTGTGGCAAGCATCAATGTTCTCTCGGCCAACTTAACTTCCAGGTTGTACTTTAACAAGTAAGCTCCATTAATGTAAGAGTATTGGTATAATTTATTCCAGCTTTGTGGCCTATCAAATAATTAGAAGCTTAAAAATCAGAGAATTAAGCTGCCTACTTGATACATTTGAAGACTGCCAGCACTTCAACAGGTAGCAGAACAAGTACAACAATCCGATGGAAACAGTGAACCTGCTTTTGAACTCTCTCATCTTTACCGAGATGCTTCAAGAGTGTGCATTTTGAGATAATATGCCATAACATTTTTAAACTGCTTTGGTGATATAACTATATGTCAGTGAGGCAGAACAGCAGGCAAGGTACGTGTGACAGAAAGGCCTCTGGTGATCATTGTTTCTGCACATGCAGCATAAGGAGAGGAATGACTCAGTGAGCATCACTCTGTATAGACTAGATTCTCTAGCGGTGGATACACAGGCATCACTACAATGTGCTACTGGTGCAAAATGAAAGTTTCAGCTTATAAACTTTACTAGCTTGTAAATCGTCTCATTTAATAATTTTTATTAAAAAACCTGACTAGCATCTTAGGTTTACAACCCAAGAAATAATTTGAGCACATTTCCAGGATAATTTTTGTGATATACGGCTGGTTAGACAGATCAGTCCCATCCCATACTAACACTATCCATTTAGAAATTACACCCATAGCCTCTTATTTACAGATGATGCAAACTGTTTTTCAGTCAGTTGTCCAGTTGCTTTTGAGCATTTCACTGGACCTCTCAGGTCCAATGCAATGTGGATGCAAGTGAAGGCTGAATATCCAAAACAGACATATTAAACAGATACTGGGATCCTGCCTCAATGCCCGACCCTAGAGCAGGGCGATATGGTCAAAAATATTTATCACGATATACATTTGAAAATTTGCGATAACTATATAACTGACGATATAATTGATGCGAGACAAAATACAACTCCACAACTTTACTAGCGCAAAAAAAACCCCCCATCCATTTATTTTCACTTAAACAAAGCAGCTGTTTTTTATGTGCATAAAGCTACGTAAAAATTTAACAGTGCAAAAGCAAATTCCTTGCTGAAAGTTTAACCAAAAGGCATCTCCAGTAGAAATGGGCTGACATACCCTGAGCATAACATGTATAAAATCCACTGAAGTTAAAAAGAGGAGCTTTGCAACATTAAACTGTAGTATGCCAAATAAAAAAGTCAAATACATACTTTTTGGACCATAAGAGGCACGGGATTATAAGACACATTAAGCGAAACAAAGCAGTCAGATAAATCAAACTTTATTGAACTCATTATTCTTGCTTCCTCCCCTTCGGTACCATTGATTCATTAATGCGGTTTTCTATCACAGCTGCTCTATCCCCATGTTGTTGCAGTATATTAATAACTAACCTTCTATTGTGGATGGATTATCTCAGTTGTTCTCCTGACTGAAGTTTGGTCCGTTTACAGCATCCTGCCATGCGATTGCATTTGTCTCTAACCATCAGGAACCTTCACGTTAACTTTTATCGAGTGGAAAAGTGTTAGCGTTCATCCTGTTATGTTATGCTAACATAGCTGTGTCACTAGTGATCACATTATATACCACCTAGCCCAACTTCAGTAACCTTACAAACGTCACTGCTGTTTAGTTTCCCGTCTTCATTTATGTTGGAAGTGATAGCAAAGCTGTATGTTTGAATTTTTTCGGAAATCTCCCAGTCAGAACATGTTACATCATGCTTAGGTAACTACGAAACTAGCGAGATAACATCCACTAACTTCCTGCTAACTTCTAACTCCGTTAAATGTAATAAATTCTGTTTTCATGGATGCCTGGATGTTAAACTTCATAGTTACACCTGGTAAAGCAGCAATGCTGATCGTTTTATTAAAGATGAAAGAATTAAGACAGTTTTTAACTCTCAGTGATGCTGCAGAGTTCGTTTGACTTTGGGACCTGTTTAGGACCCAGATTACTCCCTGATTTACGAGCACCTTAGTCTGACAAATACGGCAATAACAACAGCCGCTTGCATGTTCTACCAAAAAAAAAAAAAAAAAAAAAAAAAAA